ATTATAAATATTCATGTGTTCAGCCTAGATTGTGCATGTCATTACGACTCCTAAATTAGTTCAGAAGGAAACTGACATTTTATTCAAATTTCTTTATTCTTCCTCAAAGCAGAATGGGTGACATTTTGCTCTTAAAAAAGAAAAGGAAAATTTCCATTGCTTCTTTGTAACCTGAAAATTCTCCATTCTCAATGAAATCCTGTCTTCAGTTTATTCCCAGAGTTAAGAGAATTCAAATGGTCAGCAGGAAAAGGTACCCCAAAACTTATAAAAGAGGGCCTGGCTTAGACAAAATGAAAGCAAGAAGAAACTAAGGATACTAGCCTATCATTGTTGTCACTCAGTCTTCAGAAGAGAAGAGAAGAGGAGGAAGAGGAAGAAGAAGAAGAAGAAGAAGAAGAAGAAGAAGAAGAAGAAGAAGAAGAAGAAGAAGAAGAAGAAGGGGAACTAGAAAGAATAAAAGAATAATGTGGTGACTTATGTAAACTCACAAAGTACTCAAATACTAGAAATAGAATGAATATGAACTTGTCAGTTCTCCTACTAATCTACCATAACTGCTCACACATCCCATAATATTCATAGACAATGGTTCTATTTATAGATGCCTCTCTCCAGCCAGCTTCTTGATTAGTGCCTCTCACCCAGCCGTCTGACTTTCCAACTACAGTTACTCCTATGTCACAGACAAATCAAAGGGTGACTTAGGAATTTAAGTCACTCAACAAACGTCATACAGTGATATGTCAAGTGGTACAGATTCTTGTTTTTTGAAGATTCTTACATGAAAAATACACATGCAAGTTTAAGAAAGGATCAAATGAGAGAAGCCAAATGTAGATCCTGTAGCTAGCTACACAATGGAGTCTTAATTCCTTCTCCAAGAAGAGGGCTAGGTTTGATTTCTCTGGGCTGTGTAACACAGAACAACAAACCTGACAGCCTTCAAACCACTTCTCACCAGTTTTTTCTGGAGGGCAGAAGACTGAGTGAATCTTAACAGGGCCTCTGCTCAGGCTCTCCAAAGGCTGCAGTCAAGGTCTAGGGGGTGTGGGGGGTGGCCTGCATGCTCTTTTGGACCAGAGGATCCTTTGGGAGGTTCATGCAGCTGTTGAAATTCATTTCCTGGTGGCAATGCAACTCAAGGCCCAGAGGAGGCACTCTCTAACGCTAGAGCTGTCCTAAGCCTTCTTTTAAAGGGCCTTCCTGATTAGATTAATCCTGCTCAGATAATCTCCCTTTTATAAATTCAAAATCAAGCCAGAGACCTTCATCTCATATATGAAATCCCTTTACATTTCTTACACAGTGTAACAAAATAACACAAGTAACATCCATAAAAGTCATTCATCCCACAGTAAAGGGGGGGAGCACATGTGCTCATCTACTCTAGCTAGAATAGAGAAAAGATACCACCTTCCAATGTGGAGCCTTGCACTTCATATTCCACTGGTAATAACCACACCTCGAAGCAGCAGAATCCTGTCTCCTGTACAGGTCTTAAAGGGATGACAGATCATTGCTCAATTAGGTAAGCCAGAGTAAGTACCACTGGCACACCAGGGACAGAACAAAGACATCCATGAAGTCCAAAGCAAATTAAAGACTCCATCTTTTCCAGAAAATACATCTAATCTACTGTGGAGAGAGGTGGAAATTATTATCTATAAAAACTGCAGCTTCCAGCTAGGCATGATGGCTGACTCCTAGAATGTCAGCACTTAGAAGCTGAGGCAGGAGGATCACCAAAGGTTTGGCGTCATCTTTGACTACATTGTCAGTTCCAGGACAGCCTATGCTAGAAAGTGAGACCTTGTCTCACAAAAGGTGAAGCGAAAACATAAGTAGCTGAAAATAACTATTCCTAAAACTCAGTAGTTCATGTCCACATTCCACAGGCAAAGTCACAAATTAAGAACACGAAGACTCAAAAAGTAGGGTTCCCAGAGCGGAGAGGCTGTTCCTAGCTCTACAATACTAGGTTCAAGAATGATATTACCATTAGGATTCACATTTAGGAAGAAGAGAAAGCACAAAGCCTGAAGACATCCCGGGATAAGCATCTAAATGCCTAGAGCATGGCTCCATGCTGGACTGTTTCCCGATGGATGGGTGTCTTCTCGCCAGCATAAAAGGAACCTACCCAGCCTGAGATAGTACCTAGGGCTGATCATCCTCAAAAGGCTTCTAAGACATATATTAGGTTTCTCTGAGGTCAAGTACCAATTGTGGCACTGCCAGCTTCCTCTCTTTTGTGTCATTTATTCCTGGTTGCCACAGCTAAATCATTTAATCACCTAACTCTGATTCTTATTTCAATGGAGACAATGACTTCTACTCAGGGAAGAGATAAAGGGATTAACTATTGTGACATATAGCTCCATTATCCAGCAGGGGTTCTGGCATACAGTAGGTACTTCTGGTCTACCTTGAGTACATCCATCTCCTGAGAATGCACAATTCCACAGTTGTATTTGTGAAGGGCTAAATGAGCTTACAGAAAATTCAAGTCTGGTAATCAAAATTAATAATGGTATTCAATCTAATTTTCCAAGCCAAAGGAGTGGAAGGCTGAGCTGTAATCAATCTTTGGAGGTCGATTTACAGGGGATTTATCAGGTAAAGGGCCTAGTGCTGCCTCATATAAAGCAGTGTGTCTCTGTGTGTGCTTTTTCTGTGACACTTTGGATGCTTGGAAATACACCTGCCCTCTCCTATGACCCTATGCATTAACTCTTCTTCAACACTGGGTTTTGTTCTCTCTTTTTAAAGATTTTTACCTTTTATTTTCAGTTATGTGTATTGTGGGGAGAGGTGGCTATACACATGAGCACAAGTGCCCAGGAAACTGAAAGACAGTCCAGGACCCTCTGGGGCTGGAGTTACAGGGAGTTGTGAGCCACCCAACATGGACAATGGGAACTGGACTTGGGTCCACAGCAAGGGCAGTATATGCTCCTCACTATTGAGGTACCTCTCCAGCTCCAGGTTTCTGTCTTTTAAAAACTCTGAATTGCTTGGCTAGTTTCTAAGTAGGATAGACTTCCCTTCTATGAAAAGCAATAATAAGTCTATACCTACTTCCCAGCCTACACAGCCTGTTTCCTTCCCCAGGGACAATCTCTTTTGACAAATTGTCGTGAATGGTGGTTTATGGTGATGATGATGATGATCATGATCATCATGATCACATGATCATCATGATGATCATGATGAAGATGAAGATGATAAAGATGACAATGGGTTAGTTTTGTCAACTTGCCACATCTAGAATTTCCTGGGAAGAAATTTTCATTATCTAGATCAGACTGGGCCTGTGAACATGTCTGTGGGAGATTGTCTTCATTGTTAACTGAGACAGGAAGACCCACCCTGAATGTGGGAGGTACCATTTCCTGATCTGACCTTTGGAATGCATAAGAATGTAGAAAGCAGGATGAGCACTGAACATGTACACATTCATTTCTCTTTGTTCTTGACTGTGGATATCATGTTGCTTCTTCAAGTCCTTACTGCTGTAACTATGAGGCAATAATGGACTAGACCCCAGAATTTTAAGCCAAAATAAACCTTCCACAGCAACAGAAATGAATCTAAGACAGTGGGTATGCAAATACATAAATTTCCACAACTACAAATATATATTCTACTACTAATAATATAAGATTTTATGCACTGAAATATTTTATTGCATGTGTTGAAGATTATTCCATATCTTTACATTTCATATAGACTCATACTTTAATAACTATATAGTATTCCATTTTATGAATAATAACTCATTTCTACAATATACTTTTGATAAACATACCTATTAGATGAATGTATTTCTTTCATTTTTCTATTCAAAACAAGCTACTGCTATTCCTTTAATTTAAAAATATTTTACATATGTTGACTTATATTACCCATATTGGATAAACCTATGAGTGAAATTTTATCATTGTTGGTATAATTGTTTTACACATACTCATTCAAAAATATTTAAGAATGGAGTATATATCAGGCTCTAGTAGTGAAATAATGGACAGAACTATTCTAGTAGCTTCTTATACTTTAGTACTAATTATTCACTTGTGGTGATATTTTAATTGTGCTGAAATGTGATTTTATTTGTATGTTAATAAGTAAAGTTTACCTGGAGATCAGAGGTCATAGCAAACCATAAACTGAAGTCAGGCGGTGGTGGCACACGCCCTTAATCTGATCACATCGCAGGCAGAGTCTCTGTGTGGTCAAGGACACAGCCAAGCATGGTAACATGAACCTTTAATCCTAGTGCTAACCATAGAGACCTGGAGGTCTGTATAGACAGGCAGTGATGAGGAAGTCATGTGACTGGGCTTAGAACCAATGAGAAAGCAGAACAGGAAAGCAATAAAAACATAAGTTCGGCATTAGAAGGTCTCTCTCTGGGGAAGCTACTACTGGTGGTAAGCTAAAGCTAGGTGGCTCTTGCTCTGATCTCTTTGGCTTTAACTCTGTATTTGGCTCTGTGTTTCTTATTTAATAAGACTGTTTAGAAATTCATCTACATTCACTTAATCTTTAAAATAAATGTTTGGGAAATGGACTTTTGTTCTCCTCATCTTGTAGGTGAAGAAACTGAGTCACAGAAGTATGCGTTAACTTGTTCAATATAACACCACCAGCACCTGAGAAGGGACTGAAACCACGGAGTACAATTCCTTGTTCATTGTCCACACACCGTTTTACATACTATATTTTTTCACCAATTCTTGGGTGTTCCACCATCACACATCAACTCACTCTAAAAGGAAACCTCATTGCTTTTTAGAACAGATTTTTGGCCTGGAAGTGGTGGCACAAACTTTTAATCTTAGCACTTGCACTCAGGAGGGAGAGGCAGGTGGATCTCTGAGTTCGAGGACAACGTGGTCTACAGAGTGAGTTCCAGGATAGCCAGGGCTACACAGAGAAACCCTGTCTCAGGGAAAAAAAAAGGAACTTATCTTTGACCACAGAAGAGTTGGTCTTACCTCCAAATGACTGTCCATGGTGTACTTTCTAAATCCCGGGTTTCCTGAAAGCAAGTTGAACCTGAGGTGACCAAAAAGTCAAGAGAAATAAGAAGATCAAGGTAGGAAAGGCAGAGGCATGGATGACATGGATTTGATTTCAGTGAGCTCCAGCTTTGGAGGCAGGGGCCCTCTTAAGCATCAGGTGAGGATCAAGATCATTGTCATTTCAGCTGTAGTTTTCCCAGCTGCTTCCTCAATCCTAACTTCTGCAGTGACCCTTATACTTCTAATATAAAAATTTCACCTTGGTCCTTTAAATCTTTCACCTAATTTATTTATTTCATTTTGCTGGGGACTAAGCCCAGGATCTCACAAGTGCTGGGCAGGGGTCCTACCATTGTGACACATCTCAGCCCTTTGAACTTTCTCTTGGGGTCTTTCAATGACTCTCCTTCTATATATGAAACACTGTACCGTCAGTGGCCATGGCAGAGCCAAGCTTTGTACCCTTGGAGCCTCTTCACACACCCAAAGCCATTGTCTCAGTTAGGGTTTCTATTGCTGTGATAAAACACCATGACCATAAACAACTTGGAAATGAAAGGACTTATTTCATTTTACACTTCCAGACAACAGTCCATCACTAAGGAAGGTCAGAATAAGAGCTCAAGCTGGGAAGGGAGCTGCAGGCAAGAGCTGATGTTGTAGAGGAGTGTTGCATGTTGGTTTGCTCCTCATGTCTTACTCACTCTACTTTCTTATAGCACCTAGGACCACCAGCCCAGAGGTGGCACCACCCATAGTGAGCTAGGATTTCCCATACCAATCATCAATCAAGAAAATGTATCACAGATTTGCTCACAAGGCAATCTGGTTTGGGCATTTTCACAGTTCTCTCCTGAAATGACTCCATCTCATGTCAAGTTGACACAAAACTATCTGTCACATCCTCCCATCCCCATACCATAAAATGTCCTTTAACCTGAGTGCCTTAAATGAACATTCTTGAGACCACCAAGAGTCTTCTCAGGCCAAGCTTCTTCTGCCTTAAGGGAAAGCTGGCCTGTCACTCCAGAAGACTCTGAGTCCACATCCATTGCAGCTAGTCTTCAAAGACAGTCCCTAAAAAGCAAGTCTGTTGATGTTCACAATAGATACCATTACTGTTTTGAGACAGGAAGTTTTGAGATGACTATTATTTGGCCATAGATACCCAGAAATATACCTGGAGGTATATACTTCATAAGAATTATTTGTCTGGCTTTCGGTTTACCCTAGGGAAAACGGAGAAGACTATCTACGGATAAGTTTGTCCCTGAATCTTATCACTTTAGTGTGCTGAAAGACATGGAGACTCAGGAAGGGTCTGATAAATGAATTGAAAATGAATGAGATAGTGGGATGTGGGGAGCTGGCTCAGTGGGCAAAGTGCCTGCTGTGCAAACATGAGGACCTCAGTTTGGACCCCTAGAGCCCACAGGCAAAGGCAGGTGGCGTGTCACACACTTGCTATGCCAGCTCTAACCAGGCAGAGACAAAAGGATCTTGAGACTCTCTGGCCAGCCTGTTTAGCCAAATCGGTGAGCTTTAGGTTCAGTGAGAGACCATGTCTCAAAACAATACATGCAGAGTGGAGCTGAAGAGATGGCTTAGAAGTTCAGAGAATTTGCTGCCCTTGTAAAGGTTTGAGATCTGATTCTAGCACCCACATTGGGTGACTCACAACTGTCTATGTCTACAGTTCTGTAGGATCCAATGCCCTCTTCTGATCTCTGTGGGCACTTTCATGCAAGTGGTGTGCATGCATACACACACACACACACACACACATACACACACACACACACACACACACACACACACACACACACACACACGTAAAAGTAATCTTTTTAGAGGGATGGTGATAAAAACAGTGGACATTGACCTCTGGCCCTCACACGGTTTCTTTGTTCTTTTCTTAGAAAAACTTCATGTAATTGCTGTCTCGTTATTCTAAATCTATGTCCCTGGGCCATGGTCACTCATATTTGGGCTCCCACATAAACCATATCTTTTATTCCTTTGAGGTGAGAGCTGTTTCTTTTGGTAACAAACCCCAAATAATAAGGCCAAGAGTCAACATGAAGTAAGGCTGAAATATCCACAGGTAGGTGTAAATGATGACATTCGTGTTGTGTTTGAAGCAGTTATTGTAACTGGGGGATGGACAGTCAGTTGCCAGAACAGGCATCAGCAGGAAAGACTTTGTGTCCAAGGTTGTCATCAGCACAAGTTTCAGAAAACCACTTTTCCAAGAAATGAGCTTCCCTAAAAGTAACAGTTTTCAAGATTTTGCCTCTTCCCTGGAGGAAATGTTGGCAAGACTTGTACTCACTATTTTGGCAAGTTCTGTCATTTGTTAGTCTTCTGTAATGAAGCAGGTTATTAAAATAGGTGCCTATTGGCCATATCTCCCTGAAGAGAAATATTTTCAGCATGGCATTTACCTGTGGTGAGATTTTTATCAGCAAAAAACACTATGAAAAATGACTTCATAGCATATAGTTGAGGCCATATCTGACTCTTGTCTACCAATGAGCTGGTAAGATTATACCTAGGGGGTTGGGGTTCCTGTAATGTGCTTTTTGAACTTAGCATGAAGGGTTACTTCTCCAGACCATTTCCAAATATAACCCCAAACCTGATCACCACAAATGGGGAGAAAATACCAGAGACTGATTTCTGGAAAGAAATGTGTTCATTATTATCAAAGAGAAGGACAGTGGACTGACTGAACGTGCAGGAGTCGACTGAAGATTTGTCTAGTGGATAACAGATCTTCCATTGGCTGCGTGTAACACAAATCTTAAAAGGTCTTATTAATAAAAACAAACCTGGAACCAGGTATTGGAGTGAACGCTGAAAGATCAGAGAGAGAGAACAAGCCACATCCGACCTCACCTTGTCAATTCCTCAGATGATCTTGTTTCCTCAGACTGAAAGCTTCTGAATCCTCATCTGAATGGATCTCAACTGAACTGCTGCTAAAAGCTAAAAGCTTTAAAAGGCTCTAGTTCCTGGTCCTCACGATTTATATACCTTTCTGTTTCCTGCCATCACTTCCTGGGATTAAAGGCATATGTCACCATGCCTGGCTGTTTCCAGTGTGGCTTTGAACTCACAGATCTGGATCTCTGCCTCCTCCTGAATGCTAGGATTAAAGGTGTGCTACCACTGCCTAAACCTATGATTAATATAGTGGCTGTTCTGTTCTCTGACCCCCAGATAAGTTTATTGGGGTGCACAATACATCAACCACAACTGTGAGATTTTCATAAATCCATCTCTTCAATGCTGTTCAGTGAGAAACAAAGCAAAGGTTGATTCCCTTTCTCATGCAAACATAAAAAGCTACATCTTGTCTCTCACCCTGGAAGCTTCAGTTGGTCCATATGTGCCTTTTCTTGTATTAGGCTAACACACATTAGAACTCTAATAAGAATACCAAATAGCTATCCACAGGGAGATAAAATGAGGCTCTGTAATAACACAGACCCCCAAGGTCAGTGTCTTAGTTAGGGTTTCTAATGCTCTAATGAAACAGTATTGCCAAAAAGCAAATTGGGAAGGAAAGGGTTTATTCGGCTTATACTTACAATATGAACACTATATTGCTGTCACTGAAGGAAGTCAGGACAGGAACTCAACCAGGGCAGGAACCTAAAGGCAGGAGCTGAAGCAGAAGCCATGGAGGGGTGCTGCTTACTGGCTTGCTCAGCCTGCTTTCTCATAGAAGCCAGGACCACTAGCCCAAGAATGTTCCCACCCATAGTGGGCTGGGCCCATCCCCATTGATCACTAAATGAGAAAATGCCTTACAGCTAGATCTCATGGAGGTTTTTCCTCAACTAAGGCTCCTTCCTCTCTGATGACTCTATGTTGTGTCAAGTTGACACACAAAACCAGCCAGTACAGTCAGCAACCCTAGAAACATCTCCTCTCCATACTTATGCAAGCATCTGGAATTTCAATGTCTCCTCTTTCCCAAGCAAGCTCTAACTGGAGAATTCTCCACACCTTGGCGGTCAGATCTGTAAGCATTCCGGTTGGCATGCCCAGGTTTGGTTAAACCCTGCCCCCCATGCACATGTCCCTGCCACTCTCCACTCACATCTGCTGTAATCCTTCAGATTTCTCACTTCTGAAGAAATGCTTCATCCCTGTGCAGTAATATGGTGCTGGCTTTATCTCCACAATCCTGGGCCTGATATATAACTAGGGCTCTAAAATGCTGAATGGAGCTGAGATAGATGGGACTCATCAATGGGCAGATCCAGGGAATCCTTAGAGAAGACTCTGTATAGGCTCCTAATTTTGTAGATACAGCTGTGAGATCCAAAATAGATGAAGGGGTGGCCCAACATCATACATCATGTGGGTTGTGAGGTGGGGTCTGGGATTCAGTTCTCCTAGTTCTTAATCTTGGAATTCCTTATCCAAGTTAAATAAAAACTATGTATCATGCACTTACTCTATATGCAAGGTTCTATGAAATAAGTATGGCTCATGAACTCAAGCAATTTCTATTTCTAGAAAAAAGGAACACACACACATTTATATATATATATATATATATATATATATATATATATATATATATTCATGCAGTATGGTTTAATGTAAATTGAGCTTTTACAAAAATAAAGTGAGATGAGAGCCCAGGTGTAAACATGAGATGGATTCCAAGACAATTGTACCAGACACTCTGGGTGCTTTGAATCACTTCATGATGGCCCCTCTCTGGTTTTGGCAGCCATTGTGTTAGCCACACAGTCTCTCCCTCGGGCTCACAGCATCTCATCTTGAACAAACATTTAGTGTTTTCTGCTTCTAGCTCTGCTCTGGAGCCAGGGAGCCGCTCAGCATTTATGCAAGCCCCCTGGAAGGGAGGTGACAGGCTTCTATGGAAGCATTCCATGAATGAAGGGCAGTATTCTATAGATGGACACCCAGGCCTTCCACCCTTCATGGGGAGAGGGGCATTGTTGTGAGAAATTCTGCTCATCATTGGGCATGGGGGTCTTCAGTGAAACTAACTCATGCAGCCTAAGCAATGACAGTGTGCAGAGCATAGAAGATATTGGCACTTCTTCCTTCCCTTGCTCCCTCCCTGCACCTCAGATCTGCTCCCTAAGATCTCTCCTCAAATATGTTCCCCAGAGAACCTGGGCTCACTCTTTGCTTTTGTCAAAACCAAAATCAGAACATGAAGTCAGAGGTGCAAGATTGCCCTAGGATTTCACAGACCCAAAACACTTTTGACCTATGGGTCCCCTCCTCTATTAGAGTGTGTGTGTGTGTAATAGTATTCACCACTGCATTGATGTAAAGACCTGTAACATTGACAGTGACTCCATTACTATTATATTCATCTTGTCTTCTGAGTTTTAAAGATTTATTTTATGATATATCCATTCCTGTGTATGCTTATGAAAATGCAAGTACATGCAGACACCCATGGAGGCATGAGATCTCCTGGAGCTGAAGTTATAGACTGTTGTAAGCCAACTGACATAGGCACTGGGAACCCAACAAAGGTCTCCCGAAGGAATGGCATGCACTCTCAACACTGGCCATCTCTCCAGCCCTCTTCTGATTTTAATTAAATAAATGTTTATTTAAAATTAAACATTTCTATGGACCCCTAAATGTGTCATGGGTCCTAACAGATACACCTGCCGTGAAGAAGAAGAGCACACAATAGAGGAAGGAAGACCACAGAACACCATGTGACTGGTGCTAAGCCATAAAGGTGATGAACAGACTCAGGTTAACATGAACAGACTCAGACATGAGCTTCCTACACTTTCAACCAGGTTATCAGCTTTTTAAATATTCATAGTTATTATATAAGCAAATCAGGTTTAATAAAAAAACTGTGAATAATGCAAAAATATTAAGATAAGAATAGCAGTTTCTTTTCATTTTACCAGCCATTATAAGCCCTGCACTACAGCAGGCTTCCTGCTGGTCATATTGAGTGGGATTGGTTTGGTGTTGAATCATTTGTGTTAGTGAGATTTAAAACTAGGAGATTTTTGCCTGGGGGCTGCAGGAATATGTTTCTTTCCTTCCTTTTTTTTTTTTTTTTTTTTTTTTTTTTCCTGGCATCTTCTACTAAGGATGGGACTCTGCCTTGTGTGTGACAGTGACTTTTTTGGTGATCTCTGGAAACTCTCATTACCTTCCCTTTAAATGCCAGTGTTGTCATTTCTGTGTCCTGTGGAGGGTGACAATCCACATGCTATGGACTGGAGAGATGCTCACCCGTTAACAGGAGGCAATGCTCTTGATCCGACACCTCTGACCTCCTCAGGCACTGCATTCACATGAACTTACCCACACACAGACTTGCACAGAACTAAAAAGAAAAAATTCCACATGCTGTAGCCTATTCCCATATATGTATATATACATACCTACATACATATATATGAGACTTATTAGACCTGTTTATAGGGTACAGTCTGTATAGTCTAACATTGACTGTCTCATACTGGAGAGACAGAATCTGGTAGTTGTTCAGTCCCAATCTGATACTGAGTCTTGTAGGTTTCCTGGAGAGCGCTGTTCTTCAGGCTACATTAGAATCCCAAAGAAGCTGCTTCTAATGTTCATGAAGAAACACTGTAACACCAGGCTAGATAGACTTTCCAGCAAGGGTGAGGATAAACAGGCACAGAAGAAAGTTTCCTCCTTCCATGTCCATTTACACAGGCTGCCACCAGAAGGTGTGGCCTGAATTTACGGTGGGTCCTCCTGCTTCATGCTGATTAAGAAAACTCCTCCAAGTGTGCCCAGCATCTTGGGTTTTAGTTTACTCCAGATGCGGTCAAGACAACTCAGATTAACCATCACAAATACCTTTTTCCTTGGTCTAGTCTTGTCTGTGGTAGAGCATACCTGTAAATACTCCCCTACATCCAGTGGAATGCTTTTCTTTCAATCTGAAGTGACTTTTTCCAAGTTTGCCTGTTCTGTTACACGATCTACATTCTAACGACCGCTCTTTCCTAATTCTGCGTATTTTCAACACAACTCTGCTGAAGAACCTTGTCAGCTGACTGTGTTAGTGTGAACGGTCCATCTCTGGGACCTCCTGACCATTCCTGGTGATGGCCTTCTTCCATAATTTGTGAGGTTTTCTCCTTGGGTTTTTCTTGGTGGAAGTCTGAGGCATACTCTGAACTATGGAGGCCCTCAGTGGGGCATACTGGTGAGTGCTTCAGCTGTGGCTTGGTGGGTTCACTGTACTTTTTCACTTTGTCAATCAATAGCTTGTTATAGCACACAAGTCAGTCCACTCAGAGCCATGCTCTTCCTAGTAAACCAGACTCCACTGTGGGCCAGAGCAATCAGACAACTTTTTTTTTTATGGCGGGGCAAGGGTTGGGGGGGGTTCATCTTATGCTTTATAGTGCATCATCATGGGAAGTCAAGGTAGGAACCCAAGGCAGGGACCCGAAGGCAAGAACTGAAGCAGAGACCACGAGGAATGCTGTTTAGTAGCTTGTTCCTCAGCCAACTTTCTGCCAGAATTTCACAAACTGCCCTCTGACAAATAAATTTGAGTTCATTTAGAGTCTCCATCTCAGCCAGGCCTAGTGGTTCATGCCTGGAATCCTTGCACTAAAGAGGCTGAGGTAGAAATGATCACTTACAAGTTCAAGGCCATGTTGAGCCACATAGTTCCTGATCAGCAAGGGCTGCAGGGTAAATGCTGTTTAAAATAATAATAAAATAAATAAAGAGACAAATGCATAGGTAAATAAAATGAATAAAATCTGTATCCTTCCTTTCACTCCCTGGTGATTATACCATAGATATTTAACCAGAGGCACACTCAGAACTTTGAGAGATACATTGAATGGACTGAAATTGTTTAAAAGTATGTTTGTACATTTTTTTCTTGAGAAGCGTCCACAGCTTTCATCAACTCATAAGGGAATCTAAGCCTCCAGGAAACTTGAAAGCAATTGCTTCAAATCATCTTGAATGTCTCCTAAATTAAATCCAGCCCTCGGTGACACGTCAGGAGCCACAAATTCAGGTTTTGAGACATCGCCTCTGCTTCTTTCCTGGCATCTGTCAGAGCTCAGAGGGAAGTGGCCAATCAGGTGCACCACTAACATGGCTCCAAGGAGATTCTTCACAGTGACACATGTGGATATTTGGGGGGTTAGTAGAGTTGCAGAGAGGCTATTGAAGTGATCAGTGTATTAACTAAGGGGGGAAAATAGCCAGCCAGAACCTGTCTGTTCTCTGTACCCCATTCTTCACCTCTACTCCCATGAAAGTTGACAGCACAGAAACATAGAATAAACAGAATACACAAGGTTGGGACAGAAGCATGACATGAGATTGGCGGGGTGGAGTTACCTTCTGATGACAAAGGTTTAATTCACCGGGAAAATACAGTCATTGAAAACTGTATGCACACACATAAAAACCAAAGGGCTGAGGGAACGGCTCAGTCAGTACAGTCAGTTACGTGCTTGTGGCACAAGCAAGAAAACTTGAGTGTGGCTCTGACACACACATAAAAAGTCAGCTGTGTCCTTGTAACCTCAGTGCTAGCGAGCAGAGACAGGAGGATTTCTGGGGCTCACTGGCCACCCAGGCAGAGACAGGAGGATTTGGGGGGCTCACTGGTCACCCAGGCAGAGACAGGAGGATTTGGGGGGCTCACTGGCCACCCAGGCAGAGACAGGAGGATTTGGGGCCTCACTGGCCACCGGCTCTCACCTAATCATTGAGCTCCAGGTTCCCTGCATGGAGGGGGGGGGAGGGGAGATATATAGCAAGACAGACAACACCTGAGAAGCAGCACCTGCCATTGACCTCTGACCTCCACACCCAAACTCACACATGTGCATACACACACGAACATGTGTACACAAACACACACATACACACAGTTAATACCTCCAAAAAATAAAAGCCCAACTGCATAATCTTAAAAAATAAAAATTAAAAATAAATCAAACATTGGCAGAAGTGTAAGAATACTTGAGCAAATTCATCATCAAAAAAAGGATTTTTTTTTAAACAATTGAAGACTGATACGTGTCATCTATGAGTGTGTTTTTACAAACAGCACCCGGTCAGGTGACTTACCACAAACTAAAGTCCAGGAAGCAAATGCTTCCAAAGCCACAGAAGGAGAAGGCCACCATACTGAGAGGCAAACCCACGCTCATCTGGCTCCCAAGTCAACACTTTCCAGGGGAGCTTGCTGGCAAGAACGGAGAAAAATATTGCAGAATCAAAATCTTTTTTTTTTTTTAACCTACATAATTCATTTGGTTGAGTATCTCTCTTCTCCTCCGTGGCAGCTCCTTGCTATTTCCCCCCACCTGTTAATTACTTGGGGCTGGTGTGGGGGCGGACTTGGCTTCCTGCAGCAGCCCAGGCAGGTTGTCACACTGTCAAGGATCCCTTCATTAACAAGCTGTCAATATGCTGCCAACAGCCGCCATTTGGTTTGTTCGGGGAGCGGAGCTGTGGTGTGGAGTCTTGGCTCGATCAATTAGAGAAATTTAAAGGAAAAAAAAGGCAAGAGGCAGATGTCTTCCAGTCTGTTCTCCGCAACAGACTTGGGATATGGCGTGGGCTTTCGCTGGGAGGAGGGGGAGTTTAAAGGAAGTGTCAAGGAGGAGGCAGCTAACAGAAAAGTACGGCGAACAAGACGGAGGCGTTGAGAGAAGCAGGCTTCTTGTGCCACGGGTTTCTGAGTAATGCTAGTTGTGGCCATGTCCTTGTCACAGTGGACAGCTCAAAATCAAGCTTTAAAAATGGTTAAGATCAGTCACCAGTCTGATTTTTAAAAGTGAAAGGTGCCATTTGCCTCCAACCTTTTCAAAGTCACCCTAATGAAACAGAGAGGATCTGCCAGGGACGGCAGCCCTTCATGAGCCTACACTCTTTCTGTTAATTGGCACTGTCAACCTCCGAGCCCCCAGGTCCCCAGGCTTTCCAGTCACAATGTGCCGTCAGGCATGGAGATTTTCAGAGGGCTTCGTGTAAAAGAATGGCAGAAGTCTCGCTTTTGAGCAACTGTTTCCAAAGCTCAGGTTGCAATAAAAACTTTATTCTGTTCCTATAGTCTCAGACCCACTCCTGCCTCTCTCCCCACGATGCCTACCTAGAAGCTGCACCCACCTAAAATGTGCTCAGATTCTCTCCAAGCAGGAAGACCTCAGGACAGAAGATGGTTTCCAAAGCTTGTCTCAGAGCTGCCTTTGTGGTGAAAGTGAGTGTACACGAGTTAAGATTTTAAGAACTAATAAAATATTGTCTGTTGTAGAGGTGCACACCTGTAATCCCAGCACTTGAGACAAGGAAACAGGAGGATCGGAAGTTCAAGGTCAGGCTGGAGAGATGGCTCAGAGGTTAAGGGCACTGTTCTTCCAGAGGACCCAGGTTCATATCCCACCCACGTGGCAGCTCACAGCCACTTGTACTTCAGTCTCGGGGGATCCAACACCCTCTTCTGGCCTCCATGAGCATCAAATGTATACACAGACATACATGCAGGCAAAACATCACATACATTAGACAAATTCAAAAATAGTTCCAGATCATCCTCACCTACATAGTGAGTTTGAGGCCAGCCTGGGCTACATGAGACCTTTCTAGAGTGGTGGGGAAGAAACCATGAAATACGTTCACTTATTTTACACTCTTCCTATTTCACTGTAACAGATGACATTTGTGGACCAAAAATCTTGGGATGAAGCACGGGTTGGCCAGAAAGAACATCCATGCTATCATAGACTAGTGAGCTAAGAAAACAGTAAACATCACATCTAAGCTTGTTTAACTACAGAAACAGTGACAAACATCTCCTTAGGGGAGGGCGACTATGACGGAAAACACGGCAGTAGCATGCGAGTTCTAGGAGATCACTGGGAATTAAATATTTCAAATTTCTTAACATTTGGAGGGAAAAGATGATGTTTTGATTGGTTGTTGGCTGTATTTAAATTATATATCCTATAGACACTCCTAGTTAAGTGAAAAGGAAATCTTCAGAAATAACAGAAGATAAGTAATACAATGGGCAAGAGGTGAGTCTATTACTCAATCCAAGAGAAAAGAAAGGCTAAGCAGGACAAATGGAAAGTAGAAAATCAGAAAGAAATCCAAGTGCATCGGTAATCATGACAAGTGGAAATGGACTGACTGATTTAAAATAAAGATGATTCAAGCTGGGCTGTGGAGGAGAGGCTCAGTGAGTGTTGGCCATGCCAGCCTGAGGCACGAGCAAAGGAGTTATCCTGCCAGTCGGTCCAGAGACATGAAACCGAAGCAACCAGCAACAGAGCACAGGAAGTTCCTTTCTTCCTCTTTCTTTCTTTCTTTCTTTCTTTTTCTTTCTTTCTTTCTTTCTTTCTTTCTTTCTTTCTTCCTTCCTTCCTTCTTTCCTTCCTTCCTTCCTTCCTTTCTTCCCCTTTCTCTCTTTCTTCCTTCCTTTCTCTCTTTTTCTTTCTCCCTCCCTCCCTTCCTTCTTTCTTTCTTATTTTCTGTCAGACAGCCATAAAACTGGACTGATTTGGAGGTCATAGAAGAGAAAAAATAAATGCAGACAATGCAAAGAAAGAAATGGAAACAAAAGAAGGTTATCCCTGAGCCCCCAAGAGGAACACAGCAGGGCTGCTGGAACCAGAGTGATGGGAACATCTCCTGGAAGTGTGCGGGTAACTACAGAAAAAGAACAGCAAGGCAACACACCCTTGTCACAAGCTGGGTGTCAGTGGGTGGCTGTCCCCAAAATTCATATTCCAAAAAAACTGATTGGATGGAGCAGAACTGGGAATCTAAACAAACCCACGTCCAAGTTGCAACCTTAGCACTCATTTACCGGACAGCCCGTGGAAAACAGTGTATGTGACTGTCTAATGTGATCCGCAGTAGAATCATGATGGTAGGCAGACCCACATCCAATCCATGTATGTGACAATATAAGCAAAGGCTGAGTGTCAAGCTATAGCCCCCACCTAACATCTGCAAGCCCAGCACATTCCACAGGTTGCATAGCCCCTCAGAGGAAAGAAGAAAACATGGTGATTCTCTTGATGCATTTCTTTGTAATACATAAGTTTCATTTCCCCAAATAAGTAGACTATTTGTTTTCACCTGCAACAAGTTTCTCTTTCCCTGTTACATCACAAAGAGAATTGGAGTATTGGGGGATCACTAACCACAACCAACCAGTGACTGTTTCTGAACCCATGCACCAAGACAGGGGTTCCTATTGCAGCAAATTTTCTTTTTTGAGACAGGGTTTCTCTGTGTAGCTTTGTGCCTTTCCTGGAACTCACCCTGTAGCCCAGGCTGGCCTCAAAGATCCTCACAGAGATCCACCTGCCTCTGTCTCCCAGGTGCTGAGATTAAAGGTGTGTACCACCACCACCCGGCTGCAGTGATTTCTGTACTCTGAGGCAGATGCAGGAGACCCAATCCCCTCACCACAAGGCACATATGAATACCTTCAGTCTAATAGGAGAAGAGAGGGAGCTTCTAAGAGGGGGACACAAGCCCAAATAAAAAAACAGGGTCCCTTAGAGTTGGTGGACTCCTGGTCCTGGGGTCCCTTCTCTATTGGGAAGTCTGTAAGGCTTGCCAATAAACTTCACGTTCACCTTGCTCTGAACTATTTTTCTTATCTCTTTAATTCTTTAATAAGCAGAGGGAAAAGAACCTATCAGGCTAGCTGGTATCATACTTTCTGAGTATAGTGAAATGCAATCCACTCTCCAGGTTTCTGCAGGCTCTGTTGAGGCTCTGGTGTTCCAAATACCTACAGATTTTAGGAATGCTCCAGCCTACAGCCTGCCAGACATTTTGGAACACAAGTTTGTATGATGGCAGAGAGAAGGCTCAGAGTGGAGACCCAGAAAGCCCTAAGAGAGGGCTAAGGACAATGAGGTCACCTTTGAATGGTTCTGAGCAGACTTTGCATGATGTCTGGTGAGCAAAGAACACTACTTGGTGAATGAAAGGCCTGAAAGGTCCTCTCCAGAGCCAGAAAGTTAACAGGGACCCAAAATTCATTCCTCCAACCATGCAGAGAATATTTACAGAATGTCTATGTGCTAAGCATGCTGCTATGTGTTGGGATATGGCAGAGATCAAAGCAGGCAAAATCAGGGTTGGAAAGATGGCTGAGTAGTTAGAAGTGAGCACTTCTCTGGAAGAAGAAAGACTGGGATTAATTCCCAGCACCCACGTCAGGCAACTCAGGACAACCTGTAACTCTAGCTCAGGGGATCTGATGCGCTCTTCTGGCCTCTGAAGACACCAACATGCATGTGTACGTATACAGACACATCACACATAAATTTTAAAAAAAGAAATAATTCTTTAAATAAAACAGACAAAATAGCTGCTTTGAGCAACTAAAATTTAATAAAACACATATATTATGATAAGTGCTGCGGGAAAGAGATAAGGATAATGCAGGGAAAGGAGACATGGGGACCAGCTGTATGTGGGTAAATAGGCTCCTTGGCTTCACAGGGAGGACACGTAGGTCCCTTAGGAGGGACTAAGGAAAGCAAGGGCAGGAGTCATGTGACTATCCGGAAAAGAGCAAACCAAGCTGGGGAAGCAACACGTGTCGAGGCAGGAATGCACACACAGTGACCAGGCCCCGAGTTTTACCTGTGATGCCAAGGCCACTGTATGCGTCATGTTAAGAGACTCCTCTCTGGATATCTGCACGGAGCTCCGTTAATGTCTTAGGAGACATCACCAGTGACATGGATTCAGAGTCCCCTCAACCTCACTGCCACTCCTTGCCATGCACAGCCAGGGTCACCTGCAGTCTACCAGGCTCCCACTCATGAGGACTGACTAAAAAGCTCACATAGCCTCTAGCTCTGGTTTCCTCAGCAACCATACTTCTCTTATTATTATATTTTATTAGTTTCCTTTTCTTTTCACAGGATAAAACTATCAGCTGTGAAATCCATTTTGTTTGCTGGAAGCTGTACCACAGCGGACACTACCCAAAACAGACTCCAAGACTAAAGCTTCTCGCCTTGGTGACACATTTTCTGACCCAGCCATCCAGCCATCGTGACTATTGCTTCCCACCTAGCAACGGCCCCTAACTTTGAGCTCCTCTTTCACCTAGCAACGGCCCATAACTTTGAGCTCCTCTTTCACATTCTTTCTTTTCCCTGATTTTATTTATGCTCCTAAGTGACAAATTTCAGGCGATCTTTTGGAGCTCGCTAGAAGCTAATTTTGAGATGAGGATGTAAGAGTGTTAAAAATAAATTCATCATGAGCACAGGGGTGTCTATTTAAAATGCTGATGTTCTGTGATCTGTTGAATGCAACTGAGAAGCTGTGAATCTGCAGTGGTGAATGTCTGTCCTCACCCCACATCCTGCCTCCATCAGCACAAAGCAAGCAGTCCCTGCTTCCATTGGAAACCCAGGCTTCTGTGCTGTGACTCCTCACAGTCCTCAAAGCTTTTTCAAGGTCCTTAAATCCCTCTTAAA